GCTGTCCACTCTCTCCATATCTCTTCAATATTGTAATTGAAGTTCCAGCTAGAGCAATAAAACAACAAATGGAGAACAAGGGGATACAAATTGGAAAAGAAGAAATCAAACTTTCACTATTTGCAGATGATATGATAGTTTACATAAGTGACCCAAAAAACTCTAACAGGGAACTCCTACAGCTGATAAACACTTTCAGCAAAGTGGCAGGATACAAGATTAACTAAAAAAAAAAAAAATCAGTAGCCCTACTATTTACAGATGATACATACAAAAGAAAGAAATCAGAGAAACATCACCCTTTCCAATTGCCACAAACAACTTGTAATAATTCTTCTGCCTCTTCTATTACTGTTGTGTACTGGAATGAGATGCATGTGCCATCAAGCCTCCCTCACAGCTGTTTTAATGTAGTGCTCAGGACTGAATCTGAGGTTTCCTGAATGCTAGGCCAGCTCCTCAGCACTCAACACTCATGGTGACACAGGAAAAACCAAGGACTCATAAACAAGTTCATTCAGTTGTTAAATTTTATCTAGTTAAATCTTGTGTACTGCTTAACACCTTTGAAGGCATTAGACAAATCTGAGAAGCAAATATTTTGAAAAAGACAAAGGGTAGAGAGATCTTTCACCTGATACATACCATTATTTATCAACTCATTCCACTCATTTATCAATCTATCATCCATCCTGTCATTCCCCATCAGTTGCTCATTTAATTCCAATTAATGCCAAATGTTAGAGGTTTCTGATCTCTGGAAACTTCCATCTTAATAGGAAGACAATTACATAATTTAAAACAACCAAAACATGTAAATCTATAATATAAATAGGTATCACAGCTATGTATATAGATCCAACCTGAAAGAGTTTAATTTAATTTATTAGAGACTTTAGTCCTTGACAATATCTTGCTAACTGACCCTATGAGAATGACTTCCAGTCCATATTGAAAGATCATGGGTGAATCACTTCTTGATGAAACCCATCTTTCACATTTATAAACACAGAGTTTGAATTGGATAACAATGAAGGTCTATTTCAGTCATTTGGCTCTGGGAAATTCTCTATAAGAAACCTGGAAGTTAAAATGATTCTATTCCCTCACCCTTTCTCCCTTTGTAAAGTATTCACAGACAGGATCACATCAGGGGAACAAGGCTCTAAATAAATCTTGGAAATGGGCTGATGTGTGAATACCAAGATATCCTGTAGCAGACCCCAGGCAGGGACTTCTGGGCTGTGCAAATGTCTTGTGATATATGATTTAGTACACCATGAAGGCTGTTGCTCTGCTTCCTGACTCCATGTCTGCGATAAGCTATGTCTCCTGGTGTTTCTTAAATGACACAGAAAAGGGGAAATCAGAAATGGAGAAAAAGAGGTTTTACCAGAGAGGAGGAAGGGTAACTGTTGTCTCTATCTTCTGTTCTTAGATCTCAATTTATTCCTACTATCCTTTCCAGAGCTACTGGCCCTGCCCCAGATGTTTTATGGAAGTGGTTATACTGTGAATCCCAGTGCTGCTTGTTCTCCCTTTGCTGGGCAGAAGTTTGACTTGGATGTAGTTTCATCAGTAGTTGCTTTTGTTACATGTGCAACATACATAAGAAATCATCACCAGCATCATTGTCATGATGCTGGTATTTTCTTCTGTGAGTTTGACAGTTTCAGGCAATAAGAAACTAGGAATCATGAAGGACTCTAAGGGATAAATAGACCCCAGGAGAGCATGAGGTAGGGGAGTGGGTACTGCCACAATAAGAGCACGAGAAGAGGAGTAGAGGAGAGGAAATGGAGAAGCAGAGATATTGAGTAGGGGGAAGAATAGAGGAGAGAGCAGGATGAGA